AGTCAGGTTGTGATGTCGGGAGACAATAGAGTATGCTAATTTACTGGGGATAAAGATGTTATGGTTCTGTAGGTGCCACCACCCATCTGCATCCTTCTTGGCCTTCTCCTGCTCTGCCCACTGGTTCTCTTCTGGGGTATATTTTGGTTCTTCAGGCCACTCGAATGCCAACAAGAATTGGCACTGGGTTGGAGTGTTGTCCTCTGAACATTCTTGGGTGGCTGCATTTTTGGCTGCTTGGTCTGCCAGGCGATTGCCGGTGGCGGTTGGATCTGTGCCCTTTTTGTGCCCTCAACATTGGATAACTGCAATTTCTTTTGGCTCCCAAACTATCTCCAGCAGTTCATCCCTATTTTTGATCTCCTTTCCACCTGCAGTCAGCAGTCCCCTCTCCCTGTATATTGCCGCATGGATATGGATTGTGGCAAAGGCATATTTAGAGTCTGTGTATATGTTTGCCTTCTTTTTTTTTGAGACAGAGTCTCACTTTGTTGCCCAGGCTAGAGTGAGTGCGGTGGCGTCAGCCTAGCTCACAGCAACCTCAAACTCCTGGGCTCAAGCGATCCTACTGCCTCAGCCTCCCGAGTAGCTGGGACTACAGGCATGCACCCACCATGCCCAGCTAATTTTTTCTATATATATTAGTTGGCCAATTAATTTCTTTCTATTTATAGTATAGAGGGAGTATTGCTCTTGCTCAGGCTGGTTTTGAACTCCTGACCTGGAGCAATCCGCCTGCCTTGGCCTCCCAGAGTGCTAGAATCACAGGCCTGAGCCACCTCACCGGGCCTATGTTTGTCTTCTTACCCCGGGCATGCCTGAGGGCTTGGATGAGGGCCCATATCTCCGCCCTTTGTGCCGACCACCCTTGGGGCAAAGGAGCTGACAAGATGACCTAATTGACTGTGGTGGCTGCGAAGCCCACCACTTGTTTCCCATTCTGGATAAAATTACTTCCATCTGTGTAGAGTTCTAAGTCCAGTGCCGGTAGAGGACTGTCTTTCAGATCTGGCCGGCTGGGATAGACCTCCTCTACCACCTCGGTGCAATCATGGTTTCAGGGCACTGGCTTGGTGGGTAGGAGGGTGGTGGGATTCAAGGTCTGTACAGTCTCCAGGGTGAACCGCAAGTTTTTGCATAGCAGTCCTTGGTATTGCGCTAACCGGTTGCTTGAGGTGCCCTGAGGTGTTCATTAGAGATATCACTGTGTGAAGGACTCACACACGGAGGTTTTGTCCCAGTGTGAGTTTGTCTGCTTCCTTGACTAGCAAGACAGTGGCCACCAGTGTGCAGAGGTAAAGTGCCATCCTGCCACTACTGGGTCAATTGCTTTGACAAGTAAGCCACTGGTCTCTGCCACTGGCCCACAGTTTGAGTCTAAAGCCCCAGAGCCACTTGTTTCTTCTCAAGTACAAACAGGTTAAAGTCTTTGGTGAGATCCAGTAGCCCTAGTGAGGGGGCTCTTTTTAGTAAGTCTTTTATTTCCTGGAAAGCCCTTTCCTGACTCTCGGCCCATTCCATTCCCATCCCAATTGTTTTCAGGCCTGCGTGGGGCCTCATACAGAGGCTTGGCCTTTAGGGAGAAACTTGGGATCCAGATGGGGCAGAATCCGGCCATGCCAAGGAATTCTCTGAGTTGCCTCTGTCTGGTCAGCCTGGGAATTGTACAGACAGTGTGCTTATCCTCATGTCCCAGTGTCTGGTGTCCCTGAGTGATGTGGAAACCAAGGTACTTTACCTGTTGCCTGCAGGTCTGTGCCTTTTTCCAGGAGACTTTGCATCCTTTGTCAGTGAGCAATTGGAGCAAGCACCAGGCTCCCCGGTGGCAGTCTTCTCTGGTTGGGCTTGCTAGAAGGTCATTGACGGACTGTAGAAGTGTTCAGCGGGTTTCTTCCCGTGGGAAGGAGATGAGGTCAGTGGCTAGAGTCTCTCCAAATAGAGATGGTGAATTTTTACATCCCTGTGGTAGTCACATCCAGGTCAGCCAGGTTTTCCTTCTAGTCCGAGGATCCTCCCACTTGAAGGCGAACAGGGGCTGGCTCTTCAGAGCGAGCCACGTGCAGAAGAAAGCATCCTTTAAGTCCAGGCAGGAGAACCACACAGCATCAGAAGGAATGAGGCCCAGGAGGGTGTATGGATTTGGCACCACTGGGTGGAGAGTCACTGTATCCTCATTAATCAGTCGCAGGTCTTGGATGGGCCAGTATCCACCTCCATTGGGCTTTTTGACTGGCAGGAGGGGAATGTTCCATGGGGATTGGCACTCCACCAAAATCCCCTCCAGCTTAAGCCTATTGATGTGCTCCTGAATTCCCTCTCCAGCCTCCTTGGGGATGCGGTATTGTCGTCTCCTGGTCAGTTGGGCTCCTGGTTTCATCTCGATCACCAGGGGTACATGTTGGTGTGCCAGACCGGGGGGTGGTGGCCAAGGTGTAGGCCAGGGACAGTGGCTCATGCCTGTAATCCTAGCACTCTGGGAAGCCAAGGTGGGCAGATCGTTTGAGCTCAGGTGTTCGAGACCAGGTGGAGCAAGAGCGAGACCCCGTCTCTACTAAAAATAGAAAGAAATTATATGGACAACTAAAAATATATATAGAAAAAATTAGCCGGGCATGGTGGTGCATGCCTGTAGTCCCAGCTACTTGGGAGGCTGAGGCAGGAGGGTTGCTTGAGCCCAGGAGTTTGAGGTTGCTGTGATTTAGGCTGATGCCACTGCACTCTAGCCTGGGCAACACAGCGAGACTCTGTCTCAAAAAAATAAAAAAGAAGCGGGGGGGGGGGGGAGTTGTCCTCCACCCATACCAACAGAAAATCCTGCCGGAAGTCAGGCAGGTTCTGTTCCTCTTTGGCCTCGTCATATAGCTTCCATTTCAATTCCTGGGGCAGGGTGACCACCATTATAACAGTCTCTGGGGTGCCGAGCATGAGGCTCATGGTCCCTTCCAGGTGGAAGGTGATCTGGGCTTCCAGTTTGCTCAGGAGATCTTGACCTAGGAGGGGAACAGGGCAGTCCAGTACATATAGGAATTCATGTCTTATCTGGTGACCCTGCATCTGGCATATTCAGGATTGGCAGAAGGGTCAAACTACTCAAGTTCCAGTGGCTCCCACAATGGTAGTTTCCCACTCTGTAATTGGAGTCACTGGGGTTGTTACCACCTAGTGTTCTGCACCAGTGTCCACCGTGAATGTTATTGGTAGGCCCCATGCTTTCATCAGCTGCGTGATGTTCATTCCTGCAAACCTGTCAAGTTTCTGGAGTTTCCATCAGATGTCAGTATAGGAATACCCAACAAATGCAGCATTCACCACCCGCTGATTTTTGGCCGCCTGTGGGTCAAAGGATATGTAGACTCAGTAGGCCTCACAAAGGTGCTCATAGAATTTTCTCAGTGATTCCTCTGGCTTCTGGGTGATCAGAGTGACTTTGTTCATGTTGGTTGGTTTTCTGGCTCCCTCCCGGGCCCCATGTAGGAGAGCTTCCCGATACCTTCCAAGTGCCTCTCGTCCGCTTGGGGAGTTGAAATCCCAATCTGGGTTGGTCTCGGGTGCTGCTCTCTGTGCCCACTGCTCCATGTCCAAGGTCCTTGCTGGAGCCTGGTCCTGGAGCCACCTCCAGGTCCCAGCTACAATCTGGCATCATTCTTCCATGTTAAAAAGGGTGAAAAGGAGCTGGTAGCAGTCTTCCCAAATGGGATGGTGGTTCTGAAAGATGGATTCCAGGAAGTCAACGAGGGCCTGAGGTTTTTTGGAGTATGGCAGGGTGTGGTGCTTCCAGTTCAGAAGGTCAGTGGTGGAGAAGGGCTGGTAGTACAGGACTGGCTGACCTGGCTGAACGGACCCATCAGTCTGCCTAAGCCTGCCATCGACCTCGAACTCCGCCCAGGGGCATCTGGAGGGCTGAAGTTGGGGCCTGAGCGGACCACAGCTGGCGGGTGATGGGAGTGTCGGCACCCAGCTGGTCTGGAACTGGCAGCAGGGAGACTGAGGTGGCGGGGTGTCTGGTGAATTCGGGGGTACTTCAGGAGGAGTCATGGTAGGGTTGTAGGGCAGTGGTGGTGGATCCTCTTCGTGAGTTTCCTTTTTTTTTGTTTGTTTGTTTTTTTTGAGACAGATTCTCACTGTGTTGCCCAGGCTAGAGTGCAGTGCAGTGTCAGCCTAGCTCACAGCAACCTCAAACTCCTGGGCTCAAGCAATCCTGCTGCCTCAGCCTCCCGAGTAGCTGGGACTACAGGCATGTGCCACCATGCCCAGCTAATTTTTTCTATATATATTTTTAGTGGGCCAATTAATTTCTTTCTATTTTTAGTAGAGATGGGGTCTGCTCTTGCTCGGCTGGTTTTGAACTCCTGACATTGAGCGATCTGCCTGCTTTGGCCTCCTAGAGTGCTAGGATTACAGGCATGAGCCATGCCTCGGCCCTAGGAGTTTCCTGTTAGATGGGTTTGGACAGTTTGGGGATCTCTGGTCCTTTGAGCCACAAAAATCCTGCTCTGTCCCTTATTAACACAGAACCAGACCCAAGGGGGCATGGTCTGAGCAATTTCTAGTCATGAATCTATGTAAAGTAATTGGTCAGGGTGGCTGGGAGTCCTGGTCACGATTCTCTAAACTGCTCGCATGGTGGGTAGGTCTAAGGTTCTTTTTGAGGTCCAGTTGACCCCAAGTGTTGGCCATTCCTGTTCACAGAGGGCCCTAAGCCTACTGAGACTCAGTGTGACACCATAATCTACCATGAAACCCTTCTTAAAGTTCTTTAACATGCATTTATGGACGGTAGGATTAGATTCTATGCTACTCATCCTAGACCCTTGAACGCAGCTTAACAGACAAAGGTGGGGTGTTCTCTCAGGTGTCCCCTGGCTGCGTCCCTCGTGGGAACTTAGGTGCTTCTTGGCAGAGGTGTGCTCATATAAACCCCGGGCCCAGTCGCTCCCTTTAGGGGAGTGAATCACCATTATGCCATAGACACCGCCACGGAACCTCAGGTGAGGACCCACTCAGGTTCCGTAGCTGTAACCGTGGAACCACAGTCACTCTTCACTCACTCATTCAGACAGCCAGAGGTTACACATTCCTGCCCTGGGAATTCTCTGCACTCAGGAGGTGATCAAAGCTCCTCTTCTGTTGTCTGACAGGCCTGACTTGGACGGGTACCAGGACCTTAGCTGGTCTGATGCCTCTAGACCTGATTTGACTTGTCCGTCCCTCTGTGTTTGGGTGAGTTTGGGACCCCGCGGCCGGCGGGAGCTCCTGAGGATATTCCACAAAATGGCGGTTGGCGCCGAGGTCCCACCAAGGGGCTGGTGTGGTCGGTTTTCCCGGTCAGGGAACCAAAATGTTACAGCAAATGTTACAGTGGGTGGTCCCAAGGACAAACAGAGCGGCACAGGGAGAGTCGGAGAATCAAAGTTTATTTGCTGGCAGGCTCAGAGGGGTCTCACCACCAAATTCTGAGCCCCATCTACCCGATTTTTCCCACTTTTATTAAGTTGGGGTGGTCCGAGGGGTGGGGTGTCAGGTGGCTGATGCGCCAAGTAATAGATGGGGGTTTTTCTTATCATAGACTGCATTAATCCTGTCTCTTGGCCAGAGCTTGTTCCTGTTGGGTCCTGAGGTTGTCCTGCCCTCCCTCGAGAGGGGTGGAGTCCTGGGCAAAGGGAGGTCTCTGCACCAGGGCCAGGAGCTGGAAGGGGTGGAGAGGGGTACGTGCTATGAGTGTGAGTCCCTTGCCATTCCCAGAATGGAGCTGCGACCCTATCAGTGGGAGGTGATCATGCCTGCCCTGGAGGGCAAGAATATCATCATATGGCTGCCCACGGGCGCTGGGAAGACCCGGGCAGCCGCTTACGTGGCCAAGAGGCATCTAGAGACTGTGGACGGAGCCAAGGTTGTTGTGTTGGTCAACAGGGTGAGTGGTCAGCCCTCCCCTCAGCAGGTCTCAGGTGGCTCTCAATCTCCCCCAGCATTCCAGAGCTGTTGTGCCCATCCCTAAGCTCACCTGTCTTTTCACCCAGCCCTGGACCCAGCCATGTCCTGAGGGTCACCTTACCTCCTCCCCACTCCCCTGGCCCTGGATCCAGCTTTCTCTCCCCATCTCATTTTCCACCTTCAGGTGCACCTGGTGACCCAGCATGGTGAAGAGTTCAGCCGCATGCTGGACGGACGCTGGACCATGACAACCCTCCGAGGAGACATGGGGCCACGTGCTGGCTTTGGCTACCTGGCCCGGTGCCACGACCTGCTCATCTGCACAGCTGAGCTGCTGCAGTTGGCACTGACGAGCACTGAGGAGGAGGAGCACGTGGAGCTCACTGGTGAGGACCGTGGGCAGGGGAAGGATGTGCACCTGGGGCACCTCCTCTAGTAAAGGTGTTTGTGGGAGTGAGAGGTTCTCCGCTTACCAAACCCCACTCAGTGTGTGCTCTAGTGGAAATATACTACAGTGCAGGCTTTTGGGCAAGTCACTTGCCCCAGCTGAGCCTCAGTTTACTAGTTTGTAAAATGGTGATGAACCATCCCTGCCTAGCTCTTCATCCTGGAGCCTGGCTGCAAGTTATAGAAGGAAGAAGGGATTCTTGGATGAATTGCAGGGAGGAGGGGCTTTGCAAACATCAGTCATGGCCTCTCGTGTGCCCCCAGCCTTCTCCCTGCTTATAGTGGATGAGTGTCACCACACGCACAAGGATACTGTCTACAATGTCATCCTGAGCCGGTACCTAGAGCACAAACTCCAGAAGGCATGCCCTGTACCCCAGGTGCTGGGTCTCACAGCCTCCCCAGGCACCGGCAGGGCCTCTAAGCTCGATGGGGCAATTGACCACATCCTACAGGTGAGCTTGGCCCCTGTGACCCTCCCACCACCAGGCCATCAGGGACCTCCCTGCTTCTACCCTTCCCACCACCCCTACCTAGGCTCTCCTTGGCAGGGTCCAGCCTCCAATGGCTTCTTCTTCTTCTTCTTCTTCTTCTTTAATTTACATATAATTTTTGCTTTTTTATTTTTAATTTATTTTTAATGTTTTATCTTTATTTTTTACTTCCATGGCACTACTGACAGCTAAATCCAATGGCTTCTTATGGCACGTAGAATAAACGCCCAGCTCTTTGCCCTGGTTTACAATATTCCATGTGACTGAGCCCCCTTACCTCTTCCCCTCGTGCTACAGCTACACTGGCCTTTCTCTATCTCGAACATGTCAGGCTCGTTCTCATCTCAAGAACTTTGCACTTACCATTCCTTTTGCTGGGCATGCCCTCCCCCTTGAACTTTACCTGTCTGACTCCTTCTTGTCATTCATCGAACAGCTTAAAGGCCACCTCTTCAGAGTCTTCCCTGATCACCCGCTCTGCTTTCTTCCTTCCCATCCCATTATTCTCTTCAGCGCTTGTCAACACTGTCTGAAACTCCTCGTTCTGTTGTTCTTTGCTGGTTCATCATCTGTCTCTCCAACTCCAACCTACACGCCTCTGAACCCCCAGCGCCTAGAACAGTGCGGGTGCAGAGGGATTGAATCCGCACCTCCAGGGACCCTGCCTCGGGCTCTCCTCTTCTCAGCTGGGATTCATCCTGCCCCAAAAGTCTGCTGTCCCCACGGACTCCCCCTTTCCAGTGAAGCCCTCTCTGTTGTCCCCAGCTGTGCGCCAACTTGGACACGTGGCGCATCATGTCACCCCAGAACTCCCGCCCCCAGCTGCAGGAGCACAACCAGCAGCCCTGCAAACAGTACGACATCTGCAACGGGCGCAGCCAGGTATGTGAGGGGAGGGGCATGGGGCGGGAGTAGGGTCGGTGTGAACTTAGGGCACCTAGGCTTGAGCCCTGTCTCCACCCTCACTAGCTCTGTGACTTCAGGGCACTTGGTTATGTGTCTGAGCCTCCATTTTTCCTTTCTGTGAAATGGGGCAGATACAGCCCATGCCCACAGCCTGCTGTCTGGATTGACTCAGAAGCCATCGAGGTTGTCTGTCACAGCCCTTGGCATGCTGTGAAGTGCTCTGCAAACCACAGAGCCAGGACGCTTTGTACCGAGTCTGTACCGAGCCCTCTCCTTCAGTGTGGATACTGCCTGGTCTGCTGTGACAGGGCTGGACAAGGACTAGGCATCACTGTGCCCAGGCCAGAGGGCAAGGGCATATAGCGGGTGGCAGGGCAGGAGTCGGGTGCAGGTACCTGGCCCTTGCCTCTAGCCAAGACTCCTGCACACACCAGCCTCCCTCTGGAGCCCCCGCCCCTCACCTCTCAGCTGAGACAGATGGGTAACGGCAGTAGTGGTGCGGTGCTAGCCCGGGTTAGTGCTCCCACTGGGTGCCCATCCTCCAATGTGTATGGGAATCCTCTCGCACCTCCACTCCTCTTGCCCAGGATCCATTTGGGGACTTGCTAAAGAAGCTTATGGGCCAAATCCATGACCAGCTGGAGATGCCTGAGTTGGGCCGGGACTTTGGGACGCAGACTTATGAGCAGCAAGTGATGGAGTTGAGTCAGGATGGTGAGAATGTGGCCCTTGGGCAAGGCGAAATTGCTGGGGCCGCCAGAGGCGGGGCTTTCAGGGCGGGGCCTAGCCACTAGGGGCGGGCGGTGAGGGGCGGAGCAAGGGGCAGTGGGCCGCTCAGACTCCGCCCCCTTGGCCGCAGCCGCTAAGGCGGGGCTGCAGCAGCGGCGCGTGCATGCACTTCACCTGCGGCGTTACAACGACGCGCTGCTCATCCACGACACGGTCCGCGCCGTGGACGCCCTGGCCACGCTGCAGGATTTCTACTACAGGGAGCGCATCACTAAAACCCAGATCCTGTGTGCCGAGCGCTGGCTGCTGGCGCTGTTCGATGGTGAGGGCCGTGCTGGGGCAGGGTGATGGGAACTGGATGAGCAGTCAGAGGCCAGACAGGGCTCAGGTGCCCACGCGGGATGGGAAGGTGCCGGCAAGGGTACTGGGAACCTGTTTTTCTAACCAAAATCCAAGGCCATGGATATGACAGATTTATTTTCTTACTTCTGAAGGTTTGCATAATTGTAAAAACTAATTGAAGTTATTGACAAAGATTTTTTTAAAAAAACATTTAGTTGGAATGGCACCTGAAAGTCTGGGGTGTGTGGTTCCGTTAGACTGGGGGAGTGAGGCTGAAGGTCAGAGGGTGAATTTAGCTCAACAGACCTGAGGTCGAGTCAGTCCTGGGTGGCAGAGGTCAGCGTGAAGAACTGCATGGTCTCCTTGGTAGCTGGGTTGAAGAGGGGTGCTGGTCTGAGATATGTGAGCAAAGGATTCTGTACCGTGTGCCCCTGGTATAAGGCCAGCCTCGAGAGTAGGTATGGCACAGGGTGTCCTTAAATGTGTTCTTGGTACCTGCTCTGGAGGGAGTAAGCAGGAGTGGGTGTCCTCCCTGCAGCTCCTCCAAACTCCTGCAGTCCCCTTCCTGTGAGCACCCCTCCAGGTGCCTCACCCACCCCCAGACCTGAGTCCTGTGCCTCTGCTTCGGGATTTTTGGCAGACCACAAGAATGCGCTGGCCTACTTGGCAACTCACGGCCCAGAGAATCCAAAACTGGAGATGTTGGAAAAGATCCTTCGAAAGCAGTTCTCAAGCCCCGACAGCCCCCGGGGCATCATTTTCACCCGTACCCGCCAGAGCGCTCGTTCCCTCCTGCTCTGGCTCCAGCAGCAGCCAGGCCTGCAGACCATGGACATCAGGGCCCAGCTGCTGATTGGGGCCGGGAACAGCAGCCAGAGCACCCACATGACCCAGGTATGGGCTTTGGGGAAAGATACTGAGGGATTTCCCTAGGACAGAAGGAGGGACAGGGTCTTTTGCACACAGACATGGGGGCAGGGAGACCCTGGGGGAGAAAGGAAGTTGAATATCCCCATGCAGAGAGCTGGGAGAGAGGGGCAGACACTAAGATCCCCAGTGCTGAAGGTTCCCCCAGTCTGGGGCCAGAGAGGCAGGAGCTTGGGAGTCTGTAGGGAAAGACTTGGGTGATGTAGTTCCTTGGGGCAGAGGATCAGGAGTCTGGGGTCCTTCACAGGAAAAGAATGGGGCCTAGAGTTGTCCCTAGGGTAGAGGGGGAGGTTCCCTTAGGAGACCCTAGGGGAGAAAGGGGTTGGATGGTTACCTGGGAAGAAGAGAAGATCTTGGGGGTTCTTGTGCATAGAGGTGGGAATCAAAGTCCCTAGGGAGATATGGACCATGATTGTGAGTGAGTCCTGAACCAGGAAAGGCCACTCTGGCAGGTGGGTAGGGCTGAAGCCACCTCACGTGCCAGCCTCTTTCTACTCCCTATCTTCCCTTCAGTGGAACCAGCAAGAAGTGATCCAGAAGTTCCGGGTTGGCAGCCTGAACCTTCTGGTGGCCACAAGCGTGGCGGAGGAAGGGCTGGACATCCCCCAGTGCAACGTGGTGGTGCGCTATGGGCTCCTGACCAATGAGATCTCCATGGTCCAGGTGCTGGAACATCGCCCCCCCTGAAGTGGCCCTTGTAGGATCCCGTGCGGGACTCCAGCCCCACTCAGGACCCTCCTCATCTCAGCCCCACTCAGGACCCTCCTCATCTCCCTCCCCAGGCGAGGGGCCGTGCCAGGGCGGATCAGAGCGTGTACTCCTTTGTAGCGGCTGCGGGCAGTCGGGAGCTGCGGCGGGAGCTGACCAATGAGGCACTGGAGACGCTGATGGAGCAGGCAGTGGCTGCTGTGCAGAAGATGGACAGGGCCGAGTACCAGGCCAAGGTCTGCGGGCAGCTGGCACGGCCTGCGGGGAGGGCGCTGACTGCACACGTGAACTCCTCCAGGCCCTCTACCTCTCAAGGCTAAGTTGGGCCACCTGGGGAAGGTGTGAAGACAGGGAAGGACAGAGGCCAGGGGTTGGGCCACCAGAGAAGGCAGTGGCTGGTCTCCGAAAGGCCTTGGGAACAGGTCTTGCCCTTGGCTTTGAATTTATCCTTGCCACCAGATACTTTGTGTATCTGCAAGAGCTGCCTTACAGCCATTCTGGTACCAGGCAGTGGGCGAAGAGACACACACATTAGATAAGTCCAGAACCAGGACGTCTACCACCAGTGGCCCTGAGGCAGGGTCACTGTTATCCAGCCTTGTCCAGTGGTTCCTGGTTACCCCTGTTGTCCCAGCATAATTATTATTAATGATGCCATGTGACAGATTCAAAGAAGCGGGTTTGAAATCCTCCAAATATATGACAAAGATTCAGCAAGAAAGCTTGCCCCCCACCCACTGGTGTCTCCACTCCCATAATATTCTTCTCCACTGAACTGCTTCTGAAAGCTCTATGGAGGGCTAAGGAAAGTCCCTTCTGGGTACAAATGATCTGAGTTCTTTGGGAGCCCTTTGTCCTCCTGGGAGCATTCTCCTAGGTCCCAGCAGGTGTCCCCTCCCACCCCAGATCCGGGATCTGCAGCATGCAGCCCTGGTCAAGCGGGCAGCCCAGGCGGCCCAGCGGGAGAGTCGGCGACAGCAGTTCCCAGCAGAGGATGTGCAGCTACTCTGCATCAACTGCATGGTAGCCCTGGGCCACGGGAGTGACCTGAAGAAGGTGGAGGGTGCCCACCACGTCAATGTGAACCCCAACTTCTCGTGAGACCTGTGGAAGGGGCTGTCAGGATTGAGGAGGGGGTGTGGGATGGGGACTAAGATCTGTCCCACCCAGACAGTGCTTTGAAGCTTTGGGAGGTGAAAGCATTTTAACAAGTATTGATACTGCATTTTCACAATAGTCTGGTTAGACAGGTTTTGTATTGATCCCCATTTTACAGGGGGGGAAATAGAGGCTTGGAGGGACTTGCCCAAGTTTCCACAGCCATATGTGGTTGAATAAGGACTGGAATTCAGGATACCAAATGCTGACAGGCTACACACTGGGCCCCTGGTCCTAGCTGCTCTGAGGACATCAGAAAAAGCTGACTGTCCCTGAGCCACCCTGCCCCCGTGCTCTGTCTCCTTCCAGTAACTTTCCCCTATCCTTCATCCATTCATTAAGTGACTATTTGCTCAGTACCCACTGTGTGCCAGGCCACTGTGCCAAGGATCTTCACATAGGTTCTCTCAATTTAGAAGATGGCATCTCAGCTAGGTCTCCAGGGTGGCCTGGGTTTGAATGTGAAAAGATAAGTAGAAGATGAGTGCAGTTAAAGATGATGGAAAGCAGAGGACAGGGTGACTCCAGGTGACCTGCAAGGAAGGGACTGTGAATAATGAGATTCAGGTGGCTACAAACTAGATCTTGAGGGTCAGGCCTCAATGTTTAGCCTTTTATCCAGGAGGCTCCTCAGTTAGGAATCTTGGATGGAATTTGAGCAAGGGAATGTCAGGGCAGATTGACATTTTAGATCACTCTAGCAGTCAGTAGAAGGACGGTTTGGGGAGTGAGGATGAGGCAGGGAGATCCATTGGGAGACTGGAGCTCATCCAAGTGGGTGATACTCAGGCCTGACCTTGGCAGAAGGGGGCTCAAGGGAGGCAGCACAAGCAGAACTTGCAGAAGATTAGCCCTGGGGCGAAGGCTCAGGCAGCAGGAGGGCATGTGATCTGTGGGCAGGGGTGGGGGTGTCAATGAGGTCTGTGGCCATTTCCATTCCTCTCCAGGATCTACTACACTGTCTCCCAGGAGCCTGTGGTCATCAACAGAGTCTTCAAGGACTGGAAGCCTGGGGGTGCCATTCGCTGCAGGAATTGTGGGGAGGCAAGTACTTGGGCCATGTCCTAGGCACCAGACCTCTCAGCCCCAGTCCTCAGAGGCCTTCAGGGAGCCCTCACTAGGATGGGGAGACAACCCTGCCCCAGGTGTCCCCAGTCTGAGGAGGTCCTGCCCCTGTCTAAGGGAGCCCACAGTGTGATGGAGATGCTAACACTCAGTCTCAGTGGGAGATGCAGGCCCTGTATGCAATGAACTCCAATTTGAGGAGAGAAGCCCAGTTTGAAGGCAGAGACCTAGACCCTTACCCTCTCTGTTCCACCCCCAGGGCTGGGGTATGCAGATAATCTACAAGTCTGTGAAGCTGCCGGCACTCAAAGTCCGCAGCATGCTGCTGCAGACCCCTCAAGGGCGGATCCAGGCCAAAAAGTGGTCCTGCGTGCCCTTCCTTGTGCCTGACTTCGACTTCCTGCAGCACTGTGCCCAGAGCCTGTCGGACCTCTCCCTGGACTGACCACCTTGTCGCTGCAGTGCCCCGCTCAGACTGCAGGGGGCAGGGTAGTCCACAGCAGCCATCACCTTCCCCTGGACAAAGCCTGGGTCCGGGCCCCTCCTTCCTGAGTCACCAGCTCTGGGCACCGAGCTGACCAGCCTCAGAGGAGCCCCTGGTGCCCAGGCTGACTTAGGCTCCCCAAATGAGGAAGCAAGTGGAGAGCCACAACTCAGCCCCGGAGCTGCCTCATGTACATAGACAATTTTCATTTGCACAGGATGGGGGAGTGGGAGGGGGAAGGCCAAGGCAAGAGAATTGCCACATTGTACCAGGAATCATGACACCCCTTCCCAGCCAAGGTCGCTTCTATTTTTTGAGGCTCCTCATAAGTTAAAAATAAAGAAATGGAAAAATGGGGTAGAAAATGTGTGGTACTTTTAAGACTTCGTTGAGATGTAAAATAAACTGCACATATTTACAGTGTGCAATTTAGTAAGTCTTAACATGTGTATGTTCCTCCACAATCGAGAGAATGAACATGGCTGTCACCCTGAAAAGTTTCCTCCATTCCTTGTCTCAATCCACATTTCTCCACCTCTCACCCCTCCCCAGGCACTGAAGTGCTCTGTGGTAATTTTGTGTTAAAAGTCTTTTGGTTTTTTTTTTTTTTTTTACAAGTGCAGTAGTGAGAAGGGGAAAGTAATAGAACAAGAATAATCAAGTGAGATAATTCACTACAATGGCTATCCTATAGCCTTATTCAGAAAGCACCAGCCGCCTAAATTTGAGGCCCATCAAGAATGTAAGGCCTTCCTGCCCTGCCACCCCATAATAGGTTCCAACCCCAGTGTACCCCTCTCCATCCTCACTTAACCCTCAGGTCATCTCCCTTGGACTGGAGAGAGGCTGAGATCCAGGATTTGAGGGGTGGGCTCAGGTAGGCAGGGGGGTGGGGAGAATTACAAAGGCCTACATTTTCTGTTCTCATTTTAACAAGAAAAAAATAAAGAGAAAAGCAAGATCTAGGTTGATTCTTCAGGGAAAGGGCTATTTCTGTAGTAAAAAGGCCCAGCAGGCAGGAGTCACCTTCAAGAGGAAGGAAGGGGGCTAGGGCAGAGATGGGAGAGCGGGATGCCAGTCCTTTCTGCCATCTAACTTCCTTCCCTCCTGCTACATTCTTGGTCCTGCCTTGGGGTAGGTATGAAATAACACACCCTCCCTTCTCCCAGCATTTTGTTTTTCCAGTAGGCCTCTTGTCTGATTGAAGGCTGACATTCCAGTTCCAATCTTTCTGGCCTCCATCCCCAGCCTTTCCCAGGGCCCTTCTTCCCCTTCCTCTCCAGGTGTCCTTGGCCCTGGCTCCAGGAGTCCCCCTCCTGCCCCCTCCTGTCCCATCTCCACCTCCCTCCTGAGGCCCCCTCTGCCCATCTGCTCCCCACTTTGCCTTCAGTTATTATCACCTCTGCCAGCAACGTGCCTTTTACGTGTCAATAAAATTAGCGACTGCAGGCAGAGGGGGGAGGCAGGGGCTCAGGGGTGTTAAGCTCAATGGCCTTGAATGTGGCTAGACTCACGGAGTCCGGACGCCTGTCATTCCAGGGCTAAACAGTGACAGCTGAGCGACCTGAGCTGGCATTGGCGACAGAGAGGGAGCTGTGCTGCAGGGAGAGAAATGGGCTGAGGATAAAGATGCCCTGGGCGCCTAACGGCCCCCTCAGTGGCCTAAGCCCTTACGTAGCTGACCACCGGAGGGGGAACCCTACCTTTAGAGGAGGTGTCCCATCTCCCACCCAGCCTGCCAGGCCTGGAGAGCTTTCTTGAGTTTAGATGGAAGGGGGAACTCGAGCAAGGAGAGGTTTTGGGCTTGTTCTTCGGTGAGGGGTCTTCATATGAAGTCACTAGCTCCAGGGCATCTGGGCAAGGCTGCCTGAAGGAGGGGATTCACGGAGGTACTGGGGACCCAGGTGTCCTAACTTCCTGGCCTTCCGTAGTGGCCCGGATGCTCCTCCTGCCCCGTACTCCCCACCTGGGTGAGCCAGCCCACCCCACCCGCCGGAGACTCGAGGAGGGGCGGGGCCGCGGCCCCCGCTCCAGCCCCGCCCCCGGCCGGGCCCCGCCCCCTCCGCGGCCGGCCTGCAGCAGGCGCGCTCCGAGCGAGGCGAGAGCAGGTGGCCGCGGCGGGCTCCGTCTCTGCCCCGCAGGTAAGACAGCGACGCGGGCTGGTCCACGCTGAGGACCTCGAGGGCAGCGCGGGAGAACAAGGCAGCCCCTTCCACCTGTTCAGTCCCCTTGTCTCAAAATTTGGGGACCCCAAGGGACAGTGAGAACGTCCCTATCTCGGCTTTGCGCGCGAACGTTGGGTATCTATTGGGTGCGACTAAACTCTGGGGAAGTTAGAAGGTGCCGGCTGATTATGCCTGAGGCCAGGCGGGCTCCGAGGGGTGGGAAAGAACAGAGCTGGGCATTAGGCACACAGGAGGAGAGCAGGTTGGCGACGGTGACTCTGGCGTAAGGAACCTCAGAGTGCTCTGTGCCTCGTCCAAGTACAGCATCTTTCCCAGTGGCACGGAGCGATGTGGTGACCCACCGGGCTTCTGTTCTATGGGCAAATGAGGTAAGAGCGGCTGAGCTGGGGCCTGGGGTTCCTGGTGAACCTCCGGGGCACCTGCATCGTTTATTTACAACTGGGTACAGATGTGCTTGGATGAGGAGGGTGAGCAGGGAATCACCCCGATGGCCTGGGGACCATCTTTTCTGTGTCCATGTGTTAAAGCCCAGGGAGAAGGGAGAACATGATCGCAGAAGTGGGCCTTATTGTAGACATGGGATGCGTTTGCACACTCGGTGTTGAGATTGGGACTGTAGGAAAGGGGTTCTGTCCCCCAGCACCTCAAGGAAGCCTTCCTGGAAGAGGAGGATCTGGGCTGACAGGTCTGAGTCACAAAAGAGAGGTAGCCTTTGAGCCTTTGTGCTGGGTTTGGGTAGAGCAGCGAACCCTGCATTGTAGAACAGAGGGAGGTCAGGATGCTCCCATCTGGAGACCCCAGGGACCTTCCTGAGATCATCACAAGCCTTTGGACAGACACAGGTGACAATTGGGGGAGGAGGGCTTCCTTGTCTATTTAGAGTCCCCGTTCCATTGCCTCCTTCCATCACACAAACCATCATTATCAGGAAGTTCTTTCTCATATCTGACCTTCATCCTGTCTGCTTCTGTGCCAGCTTCTTGCTTCTGGGAGGCAATGTGCTACAGTGGAAAGAGTGGGGGCTTTGGGGCCAGTTAGACTTGAGTTCTATCAAGCCTGGTTGATAGACTTGAGTTAGACTTGAGTTCTATCAAGCCTGGTTGATAGACTTGAGTTAGACTTGAGTTCTATCAAGCCTTCTATCTTGAGCCTGGTCTTCTGTGTTGTGAAGGTATTTGTCAAGGTAGGAAATTAGAGCATGTTGAACAGTTTGGTGGCTTGATTTATAACTTTTAAACCTCTACCTACTGTGTGACCTTGGATAAGTTACTTAACCTCTTTGAGTCTGCTCCCTCACCTGTAAAATGGGGGATAATAATAGAAACCCACCTCATACACTGGCTGCAGGGATTAAATGAGAATACGCATGTAGGGCGCGTTGCCATGCTGGGCGGCCTGCAAGGGCTCAAGGAGTATAAGTGTCCCTCATGTGTAGGACAGCAAAGCGATCTGCGGGGGTGATTGCGAGGGGCGGAGGGGGGAGGACAGGGTAGTGGAAGCTTTTTTTTAAAGCTTGGCCAGAGAGGAGCGATGGCCTTCTCTGCCTGCACCACTAGCCCCTGCCTCCCTGCTGGTCCCTGGATCTCTGGACCGTCTAGGGCTGCCGGTCCTCTCACCTCTCTTATCATAGTTGCCCTGTTTGTGTTGCCTTTTGTCTCCAGGGCAGGGAGAGAGGCCCCACTAGGGCAGGGACCAGTAGCAGCAGGAGCCCATGTGGGGCTGTGCCTCAGTGGAACAAGCTCTGGCTTGGAGACTCAACCTGAAAAAAATGCCCTGTGTGTCATCATCTCCCTGGCCCTCCCCACCTCCAGAAATCTACAAGTTGGGTTCAAGCCGCCACTAAATTTTTCCAGGAAGATAAATAGCACAAGTGACTGGCAGTCCTCTTTGGTGATTGTCCAAGCTACCTTCCAATGGAAAGACAGCTTCAGTCCCTGGCCTGAGCTCTGGAGGCTGCCAGGGAAGGCTGGGTTCAGTAGCACCTTAAACCTGGGCAAGGGAGGGGGTGCCATGCCTTAAGCTGGGTGCTTTCAAGGGCTCCACTCTGCCTCTTCCACCAGCCCTTTCCCTGGGGTGAGGAGTCAGCAGGGCCAAGGGGATGAGAACTGTGGAGTCCCCTTCAAAACCACATTCTCCATACCTGTGACTGGCAGTAACTTGCCCAGATGGTCACCAGCTGGCTCCCCATGCCAGCCTTTTCCCTGGGTCTGTTCTCAGGAAAGATTACACCACTAGTGCGTGCACCCCTAGGCCTGAGGAACAGCGACAGGGCAGCTGTTAGCAGGGGGTGTGGATGGAACTAGGACATGAGTCTTGTTGTCCTCATGCACGCATGGGAGTCCCTTGCAGTGCAAAAAGGACCTAGCAGCAGGAAGGGGGTGACTGGGGCCAGGGTGATGATGGAGGTCTCTCCTCTGCACAGTGTCATTTTGGTGCATAATTCTCAGGGGGCAGAGAAATCTAAATGGGAGCCTGGTCTTCTGTGTTGTGAAGGTATTTGTCAAGGTAGGAAATTAGAGCATGTTGAACAGTTTGGTGGCTTGATTTATAACTTTTAAATATTTAGACATATGTCTGTGGGCCACCATTTGTCCTCTTGCCCCAGGCCCTGCAAATGTTCCAGGTGGGCCTGTGACTGCTACTGCCATTTGGTTAATTCCTTCCCTGTCCCCCAATATAGCAGCACCCCTGTAAATCTGGGCTTAGGACATGCGTACCTGGACCAGGAAGGAATTTCAAGGTGAAATGAAGATAGTCAGTTGTCACCAACAAGCGGTCCCCCCATGGGCCTCCTGACCTCATTCTCCACCCCAAAACTGGGACAGTTTTTAAAAATGTCCTGTGATGCTTGAGAGAAAAGGGGAGAGGAGGAGAGATTGCTTATCTCTGGTGTGTGGCGAGGGGGTGGGCACTCACTGCACCCCAGCAACAAG